AATAAATTTGTTAGTCTCTAAGGTGCCACAAGTACTCCTGTTCTTTTAGCATATGTGTGAAACCTGAGCAGTTGCCATCATCCGGATTTAGATTGTATAGGTCAGGCAATGTCAAACTCAACTCAAGCTACCGATGACAATCTGTCAGTGCAGTAACTGTGATATATCAAGCTGACAAATTCAGGATTTCCCCATCAAAATATTTAATAAAAGATGTGTAGGGGAGAAACCATCAAATGTTCTCAGTGGCCTAAAATCATCCCTTGGATAACACTAATGATTTAAAGGAGTTGCACCAGGGATGAATTCAGCTCACTGTTGGAATCAAAATTGGAAACCTGACAACTTAAAACAATTGATTCCTCCCTCCCTTATCTTATTTGAAGCTAAGGTCTGGAGGGAAGCATGAAAATGAAAGGTGGTTGAACTTGCTCTCTCAATTCTTGAAAGTGGGGTCTTGCAAATAACCCTCTCTGGCCCAACGGTTCTTTAATTTATCCACAGTGGAACAGCCAAGAGAGAGAGAAAGAGAGAGAGAGAGAGACTCTGTAGCCTGGTGGTTAGCACACTGGGAGCGGCCGTCTCCTTCCTCCATTTAATTTTGTAATTATTTAGCCACAGTGGAACAACTTCAACAGGACCGAGTGAGGGAGCCCCATATCAGAGTCTCCCATAGCTCAGTGGTTAGGGCACTCACTTGAAGTAGCAGATCCCTTCCCATGGGGAATGTGAACCAGGGGTCTCCCACATCCCAGGTGAGTACCCTAACCACTGGGCTAAAAGTTATTGTGAGGGAGGTTGTCCTCCTCCTGCCCTTCTTCCCCCTTTCCCCCAGCTTCTTGCAAAAAATGGCATAGGTGTGCAGCTGAGGGCTTGTCTACACTTACAGTGCTGCAGCTGCACCAGTGCAGCTGTGCCACTTAGGGCTTGTCTATACTACCCACCGGATCGGCGGGCAGCGATCGATCCAGCGGGGTCGATTTATCGTGTCTAGTCTAGACACGATAAATTAACTGCCAAGCGCTCTCCTGTCAACTCCGGTACTCCACCGGAGCGAGAGGCGCAAGTGGAGTCGACGGGAGAGCATCAGCAGTTGACTCACCACAGTGAAGACACCGCGGTCAGTAGATCTAAGTACGTCGACTTCCGTAGCTGAAGTTGTGTAACTTAGATTGATTCCCCCCCAGTGTAGACCAGGCCTTAGTGAAGCTTCTCCCATCGGCACAGGGGTGGTAGCTATGTTGACAGAGAAGCCACACCCCTGAGCGACATAGTTATATTGACACAAATTTGTAGTGTAGTGTAGACCAAGACTGAGAATCCCAAGTGGCCGGAGCGGCCCAGACAGGTGCCTGTCTCTGAGAAGGCTGGGCTTAGCATAAACCATTGGCTTGGTATCTCCCATTGGCTAGTTTAGGCAAGGCATCACCTGGCATGCTGGCTTTTGTGAATTGCATTCTAAGGTGCCTGTCTCTCCCCATTCATTGTATAGGGTGCATGGGTGCCAAACTCAGGCTTTGAGTCCCAATGATTTTCTAGGGACTTAAAAGTTAGGTGTGGTGAAGCTGAGCATGGCCTCACCTAAGTTTCTAGCCCATATTTATTTACATTTATAAAATACCAGTTCAGTGCTCTAGTTCTGTACAGAAATTACATGGGTCAAAAGAGCCACAAAACCAACAACAAACAACCCCTCCCACAAGAGGTTACTCTCCAAACTTCTTGTAAACATATACAAGATTATTATATTTAACTTCCCCTGATGTCTACTAACCTCCAGATACCATTTCTGACCCCAGACCGTCTTCTGGTTGTCCCTGACCTTCAAGTCAGCCTTTCCTTTCCTCAGGAAAAGCCTGGGAAAACAGGTCAGCCTTGCAACATGTCCTGAAGGTCACCAAATCGAGGCTCTTGTGTCAAGGAGTAGAAGGTGCAGGGGAGGTTATTTCTTTCTCTTGATTACTTACTTGATTGGATTCAGGCACATTTTCTGGAATTATTTGCTTTGAATGGCACCTTAGATGAATTTACTAATATTGATGAGAAGTGAATTGTGAATGAGAATTAATGAATTAGAATGGGATGAGAAGTGAATAGTATGTAAGACTCACTATAGTAAAAATATTTGTCTTTGGGTAAGTGTCTGTTTATGTGTGTGTGTGTGGGGGTGTATGTTTGTGTCTGTGTTTTATATCACACTTAATTTCTTTGTCAGATAGTCAAGAGTTTCTCTCCTCCCCTGCCTCTCCCTCACTTTTGCAAAAAGAGAATGAGTTGGTACAAAACTAAACTTTAATATGGTTTCTCCTGTGAAATTAAGCCATTCATGTCTTCAGCCCCCTCGCTTCACTGCTGATATTTTGTGCTCTTTCCCTGTCCTTGTGTTTTCTGCATTTCAGTTTATTGCCATCTTCTCCCCTTTGACTTATTTTTTTTTTAGTTCATACACTCTTTTTGTAGGGGACTTGGACTCAACACTGCAACACCTTCTGTTTAGGTGCCCAGTAGAATTCACATCCCTGAGTTAGGCACCCTGTACAATGCATGACACAGAGTTAAGCATCTAAGAATGGAATCCACAAAAGTCAGCAAGCTTAACAGGGTACCACCTACACTAACCAATAGGAAATGCCAAGGAGAGAGGGGGTTCATAAGCCCTATCCTTCAGTGCTTATGTCTTGGCAGGTGGGAAGTGCCTCCCTCTGCTCAGGATTCACAGCTATGAACCCTCTCCTGAAATTAGGCACCTAAACTTTCTCTTTAAAAATATTGAGGAGGTGGTGGCATCTTGCCTTATAACTTTTAGCCCTGTGGTTAGGGCAGTCAC